AACAGTAAAAAGAATAAATAAACTTTATTTTATTTCATCCCTAATAATATGTATTACAGATATTTTATCAAAATTTGTTATTACAAAAGCTGTTAGGGATTGTTCAGCAACAACAGCAGTGAAACTCCTTATAAATGATGTTATATTGAAATACGGAACTCCAACATGTATCTTAACTGATAATGGTACTCATTTTACTTCTCAGCTTATGAACAAATTATTTGAAAATCTTAGAGTTACCCATCTATATTCGACAGTATATCATCCACAAACAAACGGACAAATCGAACGATTTAATGCAGCAATGGATGGAAAAATTGCTGCATTATGCAATGAATGATGTACAAATTGGGATGAAATCTTACAGTTTGTTACATTCAATTATAATACATCAATACATGCAACAACAAAACAAACACCATTTGAAATGATGCACGGACGACAAGCTACGCTTCCATTTGGCCAGCAACAAGAAATTATCTCACTCGCACAAGATCCAGAGCATAGTCAAAAAATTAGAATATACCTCGAAAAATTAGTACATGAAGCTCGGAACAATATTATTAAAAATCAACAACAATATAAGGCTCGATATGATTTGCATAGACAAGATTTATTATTAAAAGTTAATGATTTAGTTTTAATCAAAACAAGAAATGTTAGAAATTAATTTGATATACGATATGAAGGTCCATTTAAAATTATTAAACAATTAGGACATAAAACATTCATTGTTCAACACGTAAAAAAATTAACATTAACAAGACAAGTAACAATGGATGTTATCGTTCCCTTGGTGGAACGATGGAATTTAATTTAATAACACACACCCCAAAAGGGAGAGATGTGGGATATGATAGCATAACGAGTAAAGTATGTGCATCGATAAAAGCAAAAAAAAAAATTTTACATATATACACACGTATCTATATGTCGGAGTTGATTCTAAAATTCAGTTGCCTTTTAAAGGCAACTAGTTCACTTTAAAATTTTAAAGACAACTAGTCTTCCTTAAAATTTTAGACTCAACTGAGATGGAGCTAGTTCACTTCAAAATTTAAAAGACAACTAGTTGTTTTTAAAATTTAATATTCAACTAGGATGGAGCTAGTTGACTTTAAAATGTAGGAAAATAAAATTGTTATGCAGTAACAAATAATAAATGATTTTCAACTGGTGAAAAATGATTGATGGAAAGTTCACCGAGAACTTCTCTATAATTTTCACACTATTATACCATTTAATAATGAAGGAAACTTTCTACTCCAAATTAGATGCCTATTTAAGTGCATTAAACTTTAGACGACAGTCGAAATATGTAATAACAAATGAAACATACAATAAAATACTACAAGTACTATCAAATGAAAAGAAATTTAATCCATCATTCAATTTTTGGGCAAAAAAACGATTTACTATTGTTAAGATTAGTGAACAACGTATAATTTATTGCATAGAAACGAAACTACCTATCGTGCAGTATGAAAATCTATATGAAATACTTAATGAATGTCATCTTGCTGTTGGTCATCTAGGCAGAGATAAAACTTGGCATGAGGTAAACTGATGCCACATTATTTTGTGTTTTATTAAACGTTTTTTCGTCGTAACGTAGGTCAAACGTCGGTTTGCTCAAATACCACTTGAAATAGTTAAATTATTCATTAGTTTATGTGATCAATGTGCATCACGAAGAGTTTTTCATAAACCAATTGTTGGAAAACCAATAATATCAGTTGGTTTTATGACCAGGATGCAAATAGATTTGATAGATATGCGAAGCAGTGGATATAATGATTACAAATGGATATTTCATGCCACAGATCACTTTTCTAAATTCTCATGGCTATTTCCTATGATATCAAAGGAAGCTAGCAATGTTGCTAGCATATTACAATCTATTTTTTACCAATTCGGTGCACCCAAAATACTTCAATCAGATAATGGTAGAGAATTTACTGCCAAGGTGATTGCAGATTTAACAAAAACGTGGCCTGGCTTATTAATAATAAATGGTCGGCCTCGAAATCCCCAGTCCCAGAGACTGGTGGAGCGAGGGAACTCTGTTGTTCAACAATTACTTGGTAAATGGTTAAGTACCAATAACACATTGGATTGGCCTTCAGGTCTTGGTCCAGTGATGTTAGCTATTAACAGTAGTGTAGCAAAAAGTATGAAGAAGACTCCATTTGAAGTTGTATTTGGACAACATCCTCGTAGTGAAGATGATATTTGGAAAAATATTTTTGATTATCAACGACAAGATGATAATAATAAAATAATTTTAGAAGAAGATTTACCTGATGATATTGCCAATATCCTTCAAGAAGTGCATGATGTTGAATCTCAATCAGATTTAAATCAAGATAGTAGTAATAATAATCAATTAGAAACGAATGAAAATATGGTACTTGGTGTAGTTCAAGAATTAGATAATGATAATGATAATACACCTCATGAAATTGTTATTGATCATGAAGAATGTGTTGATGAAGCCGAATTGGTACAAAATCATGTTAATCTAAATGTTAGTACACGTCATAATGATCGTCATCGACAATTTCGGGAAGAAGCCGAGCAATCATACCTGAAAAATGCACAATCACAACTTATTACGTATAAAACAAGATCAGCAAAACGACAACGAACGTATGTTGTTGGTGATATGGTTGGTTTAAAGGTTTCAGAAGTTGATCGTACAAATACTTCTTCTACAATTTTACCATGTAAAATAATTGATAAATATTCTCAAAATGGAGAATTCATGTATACAGTTGCAGCACAAAATGGTATTATAAAAGAACATTTTGATTCGATGGCATTTTTAGATCTTACCACAGCGAATTTTGCATCATTACGTGCGATGAATGTTGATGGACTACCAACCATTACTTTTATTCAAGCAAGTCAGATTCATACAAAGGAAGTCCCCCATTTTCCATAGGCTATTCCCCCCCCCTCGCTAGTTTTTTTTTCTTTTAAATATTTTTTAATTGGGACTCATGTGAGAATACTAGATCAATCAATCAAACCTTGAACATTTCTAGTTTTAGGGAAAAAATTAATGCTCAAGGGTTAGGATCATTTTTGAAAAATTACTGACCCCGCCCTTATAGTATTATCGATATCTCCTCTATAGCTGCACCAATTGTCACCAAAATTTTACTACATATATAGGTCATGTCTATCTATAAAATAAAATTAAAATTATCTTAATTAATTGCTTTTCTAACGAGGACCAGATTATGTAAAAATTTTTTTAAAAAAATTGCTATTTTGCAGTGCATGACAAAGATTGTTTTTCCTATAGTTTTGCAATAGTTTTTATTTGAACAGTGAAATTTTTACCAATAATATAGCTTCACATAATCTATCAAATAAATACAAAAAATTCAAAGAAAAACTAATGTTTATTTGCATAGTGATTCAAACTTTTGAAAGAAGACGATATTTGAATGAGAAAAGATACCATATAAAAGGATAAGAAAATTATCTACAAAAAAGATTCTTTCGTTAATTAATTTCAATGAGCAATGGTCATTAGAATCTTTAACATAGCAGGTAATTTTTTTTTTCGATAATTTCTCTCTTGAAAATTCTCTTATCGACATTTTCGATGATATTGTTATGGTTTATTCCATTCAACCATGACGTCTATACCTCGACTATTTCTTTCGTATCTCCTTTTTTTTTATTATCTTTTTCTTTCTTTTGATATTCTTATATATTTGTGAAAGTAAAATAAAACAGTTAGTTATGCTTCAACTTGAATGAACTCGAACGTCCTTAATATCAAGTGCAAATATAAGCATAACAGTGGTGACAGCGGTTTAGAAAAAAAAAAAAAAAAAAAAAAATTTCTTTTAATTCAACGACGGTTATAATTTCTTAAAGAAGGAATCCTTCTGATTCAGGAGTTGATTCTGTCCTACTTGTTCAACGACGAAATTTAATTTCCAATTATGACTAATGATGATTCGCCTTCAAATTTAAATGAAGATACAAAAACAATCGAAAAAACGATGCAACCAGTTCTTACAATACAAGCACAACACATAAGTACACCAAATGAATCAGTACGTCGACATG